ATGAGTACACCCCCCCCCCCCCCCCCCCCCCCCCCCCCCCCCGGTTTCCCACCGCCAAAGGCTTGGGAGTTCGACGGAGAGGGCCTGGAAAACAACAACGAGGGTGACGAGCATGCCGGCGGCGAAACGACCGTCGGGTCCCCCCCTAGAAGAAGCGGTAGTGGTAGTAGCGATAGCGGTAGGAAACCTAGCGGAGGAGGCGGTGCTGGCGGGGGCGGCGACGAGGCCCGGCGACGACGTCGGCGGAACCGAATGCGGACGCGGGACGGCCGTGCGTTCGGATTCGACAACGACGAGTTCTTCGAGTACAGCATGTACGACGACACGCCTGCGGCTGGGTCCGGGGCCAGGGGAGAGGGAGTCCCTGGCGATGGTGGGGGCGGAGGGGAGAGTGAGAGCAGAAGAGACGGGGGGGAGTTTGAGGCCAGGCTAGAGAAGCAGCGACCGCCGAAGACAAACCAGGACGCCGCTGACGCGGCTGGGGCGGGTGTAGTGGCGGCGTTGATGGAGGTGAGGTTTGGGCAGCGGGGAGGACAGAGGGACATGATTTTTTGGAGGTTGGGGGCCAGTGCGGATGATGCTGATAGGTACCGGTGGTGTGTAGATTGCCGTTCTCGATCGCTTGCGTCCTCTTGGATAAAATGAGTTATTTGGAGAGCTCGGTTGTACAACAAGAGTAGTGGATCGGTGGCTCAGTTGGTGGCCTCGTACAACTTTCTGCCTCTTCATTGTGTGTTCGAATGCTGTATCTCGGGGGAGAAAAACTCGAACTTGTTTCTTCAAGTGACAATCGCTTGGTCGTGAGTACGCACAACTTACAGGTATCAGGCACAGATTAGCCCTTCTCGCGTTAGACGTTGAGGGCGAGCACCGCAGGAGGGAGGGCGGACAATTCCCTCCTGTCATACCCCTGCTGCTTGCTACCTCAAAGGTGCCGAAAGGTGTAAGCTGGCGCCCAGAAAAAAATGAGACGACGAAAAAAACACGTGCTCTTGTTGGGGTTCATTTTGTTTTAGAGTATCTTGACTTACCGAGCGTCCTTGCTGTTCGTGTTGTTGTCCCTGTAGCCGAAGGTCTCGGAAGACGATATTTCTTTTCCATGCCATGACAGGATAACAGTAGTTGTAATTTCCCCGGGAGAGGCATAGATGGGACTTACTTGTGGACGCGAGAGGCGTTGCTTTTTTCTCGTTGTAGCAGCAGCCACATCCTGGAAAGCGAAAAAACAGAACAGGACCAGACGGAGGAAAACATTCCCGATGCTGGCATGTTTTGCACGCACGGCACATATATGTACACGAGACGCCCCATCCAAGTGCCTAGATTTCTTCTGTTTACCAGCTCCCGCGCTTCTCTCAACATGCGCCGCCTGCCCTGCTCTGAAATCACCTCGCTTGCAACACCAGGGGCGGCGGCGTCTCATCGTCGAGGTTGACGATTCTCAGCTCCGGTACAACTCCCCGGACTTCTGCCACGAAGCGATGGCGGAGTTCGTGGAACTCCTGGTCCTGCCGCTTACCACCGCCCTGGAGAACCTCAAGGTGAAGATGAGTAGCGGCAGCCCCCGTGTTTTTGATGATGTGTGTTAACCCCCAAACGTGTTTAGCGCAGTGCTGCATGTGCCCCCCCCTCCTGGTGTTTGGAGTGTTACTCGAGAAATGGATCGTGTTGCTGCGATTCCCGTACGACTGGCAGCGTAGGTCTCGGAGCGGTACAGCGAGCCACCGAAGGGCGAGAGCTCACATCGTTGGACGGGATTTTCTGATCAACGTACGGGGGAAAGATAAGGATTGGGTTGGATACGTACCGCCGGATATGTTCGCGTTGAGTAGGTTGATGGCCTTTCTGATTGGGAGCGTGTAGGAATGCGTGCGGTGCGCTGGGGGAGATTTTCGACAACGCCGGTATGCTTCCCACGCTGGGTGAAGTCCTTGTATCTGGTGGTTGTCGGTAGACATGCCCCTTTGTCGTGTACAACCTCAGACGGCTTCCGAATGAGCGCAGGCCGTTTCACGAGAAAAAAACGCCACCCTCCCCCCCCTGCCCTTGTTTCCACCACGTATCCTTCCGGTCTGCGTTGCTCCAGGCGAGGCAAAACCGCTGTAAGATTGTGATCCAGGGTGCTCATCACGCATCGCAGGTCAAAGAGGTACGCTGGGGTTATTCCGTTTCCGTTTGCTGCTGTCGAACGGTTTTTGCGTTTGGTCTCGGAATGCTCATTGTTTTCATCCTCTGTGCGTGATGCCGCCCTTCGATTAAGGTAACCGGTGTTGCGTCTACCAATGGCCCGAGCTCTGTTATTTTCGTGATACGTAGACGTTGCCGCCGTCGCCGGTTGCAGATCTCGTTGATCCCCTTCGGCGTCATGTCTTTGTTTTCCCCATCTTTGTGGTAGTAGTAAGTAATACTCTCGATTGCGTGCTCTCGCTCTATCTTGAGTGTATGTGAAGGTGCTTGTGTGCGCACCTCTGACACTACCGTTGCCTCTATTCTGCAGGCGATGGTGCTGGACGCCCCCGCCTCTCTACAGGTGGTGTCCTTGAGCGACGCCAAGGTGGCCAAAAAAGACAGGGTTGTGGTGAGTTGTCGTTGTTGTTGTTGTTGTTGTTGTTGTTGTTGTTGTTGTTGCTGTCTTCACGTTAACAACCGTTCCGATCTCTCTATCCAGTACCTTCATCTGTCCATACTTATCAAACACTGGACCTGTCGATTCCCATGGTCACAGGTTAACTTGCCTTTGAAAGGTATTCAAAAAAGTACCCTTGTTTCTTTTTTGTTTTGCCAACGCCTTGTGGTGGTGCTTCCTCAGCGTGGCGTAGTTGTGTTTAATGTTTATTCGATCGTGGGGAACACTGGTGGCGGTGCAATCTTGACAGTGCTTGCTTGAGTCCCACGTGGGTTTCCGAGCGCCATCAAGCTCGGTGTGGTTGAATTTATTTACATCACGACCTTGTCTCAATGGCATCCAAAACACATCCTCCTCGATCGCAGGCGCTGGTGGCCCCGGAAAACTGGACGGGAAAGAAGGGGAGGCACCTCAAACGAGTCCTGGCCGAGGCTCACGATGCGGCCATCATCCTCATCAACCCGATCGATGCCGACAAGTTCCTCCAGGCAAGAGTCGCGACTTTGGTGGAGCTGTCGGTAGCACGAGCCCCAGGCTTGGGTGTGTTTTGGATGGCAGTTTTGGGCACTTTAGGCCCACTAGCGTTCCACGCATTAATTTCTAGGGACTAGATGAGAGCCGTTGGGGCGGGGTTCAAAGAGTGCTGGTGCGATACATGTCCCCGTCGTCGGCCATGGCATCAGGTGTGCGCACCGGCCGTAGATCTGCTGAAGACTGACACTATAGCCCCGCCCCCCCTTCTCTGTCGGATCTCTGTCTGTGTTCTCGTCTCTCGCTGCCTCTATCGTCTCTCTCCTCCTCTTCGCTACCCCCCCCCCCCCCCCTGTTGGCCCAAATCCACCCGGCAAATTCAACCCCCTTCAGCTAATGTATCTCCTGGGCCCCCTGGGGGGTCACTACCTTTCGTTGCTGCCGCCCCCCCCACCCCCCCCCCTTTACCTCCACAGCGAGGGCCAACGGGGGCCGGGGGGGGGGGGGGGGGGGCCCCCCCGGGAAACCCCCCCCTTTGGAGGCCCTAGAAAATTCCTGTGGGCCGAAGAAGAAAGCCCCCCGGGCCAAGGACTTTGTGGCGCCCCCTCCCCCCCCCCCCCCCCCCAAAACGT